ATTTGATTGGTCGATTTAAGCACCGAAGGTGCTTAAAATTCGACTAGTCAAATCATATAGCAAATAACGGTAAGGTATAATAGTATTCTAATACTTGTAAAGCGCAATAGCGCTTTACTAGAATTAGAACACTATTGTACCATAGTTATGAGTACTTCGTTCTTGAATAACTAGATTATTCGACATTTATATTTATTGGATTTTGCATACTAACTGTTGACCGGTTTGAAATTTTATCATTTTTATGCACATGAGTTACGCATGTTGTCCGAATATATTTTAAATCCGGTACAGATTTAAAAATAATTTTGATAACGTGTGTAACTCATGTGTATAAAAATAATAACATTTCAAATACTGGATAACAGTTGGTATTTGCAAAATCTGATAAATAAAAAATGCCGAATAATCAGAATTATAAAAGAATTTAAAAAACTATTCTAAAAATCTAAAAAAAAACTTATTTTCAGATATAAAACCTGCTAACCAAGAAAAAACTATTTATATAGTTATGGAAATCTATACATAGAGCTATCTAATATTAAAAGAAATCTATATACTAAAATATATTTTGACTTGTACTAAAAGCTAAAAATTATATGCATATAACTTCTAAATAAATATATTTCTATAAAATTGCTTTAGTTTAAAACTCTTTATTAAATCTATCTCAAATCCTAAAGTCTCTTTGCTTCAACAAACTCTGACTTTGCAGTTCTGCCTCTTATAAATCTTTATTTTAAACATATTTCTCTATATTCTAGATTAATAGAATTGGTTTTTTTGGTCACTATTATTAGATGTTATTTTCTTGGTATATTCTAAATAGAAGGCTACCAAATAGTTATGCTTGATCTAAATATTATACATATTACTTACAATTTTTGACCCAAAGATCTATTAAAATTTCTTTCTCATATATAATTTGTTTTGTTTCTCAATTATTATATTAAAACTTATGACTTTTTGAAAATAGAAGTAGTAAACAATATTGATCTTTTAAAGAGAATAAGCCAAATTTCTTACTTTTTATTAAAAATTATAGAAAAAGAAAATGGCAGAGAAGTATTGTAGTTTTGCAAGTTTTTCAACTTAAGAGTATTGTTTTAAAAGTTCTTCATAACTTTCTGTTCTCAAACTAACTTAAGCTTTCTTTCTATTTACTGTTTCTGAAAACTCCTCTAGTTTGAATACCAAATACAAAAGAAAGTTTACTTACAAAAGAAAGAAGAACAAGATTTAATCCTTTTGCAAATTGTCTAAAATATTTGCTTTTCAGTATATTATATTTGCAAACTTCATTAACAATAGTTTGTATCAAAAAGTCTTCAAGTTGTTATTAATTTTTAGTCTTAAGTCTTCAACTTGCTTTTGGTAACCAGTTAGTACAAGTAATCATTGAAAAAAAGTTGTGATTTAATAATATATTTAAACATATATATTGTTTAGCTATTTTATTTAAGTTTTATATAACTTATATATTATATTATTGTTTTACAACCTTCTAGTACAAGCTAATATAATTAAAATTACAAATATTGTTTAATTAAATATAAATACAATTTGCTATATTATACTTCATAAATTCAAATTTTATTTTTTGTGAGATTTAAATTTTTGGTTTGCTATTTAAAAAGATAACAACTTATCAATTATACTAAGTTGCTACACCTTTCTTTACTATAAAGTTAAATATTAGCAAACATACAGTATATATATATATAGTAAAATTGCTTAAAAATTTTTTTTGTTAAAATACAAATAGTAGTTTTTTATAAAAATTTTTGAAAAATAAATAATTTTTTAAAAAAAAATCATTTCAATATTTTGATATTTCTAATCATAATATTACATCAAAGTAAAGCTTGCTATTAGATAAGCTACTTTAGATTATTGTATAATACCAAAAATTTTATAATAATACTAGAATAGTTTTAAAGCAAGGTATTATCATAAGATTTTTTGTTATATATAACCAATCAAAATTATGAATTTTTGTTTATACAAATCAGCCTAATAAAGCAAAAAAAATAAAAAAAATATCATAGCTAATGCTGAATTTAGCTAATATTAAATATCATATAAGAATTTAAACAGAAAATTATAAATTACAGATCAATTGGAAAAATTTAAAACAAATATTTGTTTGTTTATAATTCAAAAACCTATATAGGAAACAATCTTTAGTATTCTAATAAAAGTTTTTTTGGAATAATTTTGCTATTATACCCACTAATATCTAACTATATTGTAAGCACTGACTCTAAAACTAATTGAAGATAATATCAAAATAACTACCCTAGTATCACTATCAAAATTTTGTTTACATGACCAACACAAAATTCTTTAAGTTCGTTTATGTTAAGGTTATTGCCTATATTAGTGTTAGAGTTCAGAAGGTTATATAGTAAAATTGTTCAAGAACTACTTTCTGTTAGTATATGAAAGATAAAATAAATGATTTTTAACAAGAAAGACGTTTGTTTTGAATTTCTGTAATTAAATATGATTTGGCCCAAATTCTCACATGATATTCAACATCAGCTATGACAGAAAATATGTTAGAGGATAATTTTACCTATAAAATTCTCTAACTCTAACCAGCATGGTAGACAAACCTGAATTTGGTAATGATTATTACAATTGAATAAAAAAATTTTTTATATTTTTTTATATACTTTAAAGTACTTTTTATTTTCGTGATTTTTCCAAAACTTATCAATTAAGTTTGCAAAAAAAAACAATTAGTGTAAGAAGCTCTTGAATACCTATACTTTGTCAAAATTAATCAAAAATAATCACAATACCTAAAAAGTTTTATTAGAGATAAAGTTTATAAGAGATCAAAAGCAATTAAGTTCACAATTCAAGCAAATGAAGGTATTTCATATTAAAATAAAAAAAGAACGGCATGTAACTAAGAACTGGTATTTTGTGAAAGAAGTACAAAATGATCTTAAATAAGTTTATGCAAAGGATCGAGTAAAAGATTAAGTTAATCACATTCTGTATTGTTTAAAATATAAGAAATTATTATAACAAATTATCATTTTTATTAAGTTAAATTTTACTAAATTACAACTATTGTCATTCTAAGGTATAATATAAAAATGATTCAGAAGAATATGTATTATTAATTAGATTAAATAAAGATAACAAATTTGTGAAAAAAGCGAAATTTTTAATAAGATGAATATAGACGAAATTAGATATTAGATTATTGATAATATTTCATGAACCCATGGTTGGAATTTGACAATTTTTAAAACATTCGATTCATCTCAATGAGACGAATCGATTGATATAAAAATTATTAAATTCTAATCACTGGATCGCGAGATATCTTCGATCTAGTAAAATAAAAATTTTAAAGAACGTTATCGATTATAATAAATGTGATTGGCCAATCATCACGTGTTAGAAAATAACCAATTATTTGATTTCATGTGACTGACGATCCTAGATTTTTTATTGGGCAGATTAACCCTGAGTCACAAATTTCAAATTTGGAAGGTTTGTGCAACGAAGATTGTCCACCATGCTACTCTAACCTATACGGGTTCTAATCGACCCTAACCTTAACGTTAATTAAATTTCTTAATGGCAACTGGCTTTAACGGTCCCCCTAATTTGGTATATCGGCAGACTGTAGTATAATACAAATTTGCTGAAAGTGTTTATAATTGTGGAATAGTTTAGAACCGGTCTTATTTTTCATATGCTAAAACCGATTAAAACCGGTTTTAATATATGAAAAATACAAATTTTATTGTGGAACACTTTTTATAGCATTCAAACCGGCTTTTTTTCTGCACCCTAGTTGTGCTAGGTTATCTCAATAGCTGGTATAAAGTAATTGTATAGTTATTTTACTGAGTAATGTATCTACTAGATCATACTCAGTAAATAAATTCTAACACGCTATTTAAGTAAATCGACATACTCTACTATGTAGGCTAAGCAATGAAGCCAATGGAGCTCAATGATTATGCAAATAGAGCTCAGAAAACTGGTATCCATTGGCTCCATTCAAAGCTCCATTCGCAGCTCTATTGGGTTCCATTGAATTCCATTGCCAACCCTGACTGTGTAGGGTATTACTTGTACATACCTGCAAAATTTTGAATCTTTTTATAAGAATATGTTATGTACCTGTTATATCCGAATATAGTATCTGGATTTGCAAACGGGTCTAAGCATCTCTTCCGATAAGAGATATAACTTATGAATTTTTAACTTGAGTGTTAATTATTATTTTCACGAGTCTTTCATTTTTCATTCTTTAGGAAAGAAAAATATCAAGCATGACCAAATTTTAACCTTAAAAGTAAAAACAATTTATATTTATTTCCAAATAAACTGTTTGAAGCTGTTCAAGATATCATATCTATTACAATGCCTGATAATAATGAAAGAATATATGTAAAGTATAAAATTGTAGAACATCTAATATCCTAAAATTGCTAATACAAGACTCACACCAAGTGGGACCGAAAGATTATCCATTCCCCATGGACTCACAGATTCTAATGCAGTACCAACACATGCAGAAATTAATGCTCCTGAAAAATACTTAGTAGTAGTTAATTCCGGAGGAGACATTAGCCACCAAAAAAATGGAACCCCTATTAGAGTCGTAATAAAAAATGCTTGTGATCCTTCATATGTACGGCGGCTTCCTTCCGTCCCAATTAATTGATAACCATTTCTTCCATACGTCTTTCCAATAACACTAGCCATTGCGTCACCATATGTCATCGCGACAATTCCAGCTTGAATTTTTCACATTTTGATTCAGAATAACAGGATATTCATAATAAAAAATTCAATATTGATAAGTTACTTACCAACTGCAATATATTCGCGACCTCTAGGAAATCCTTGTTTCCAACCTTCATGGAACCACCATAGTAAGAGTGTAACCGAAAAAGCAAAGTATACAGTTCCTAATGTCGCATTTTCCTGATCTATTAATAAATTATTAATATTCGTGCACTTGTAAAGCTTTTACGGCAAAAATTAATAACAAAGTTCTTACCCATCGATTTAAATATTTTAAGTTGTAAAAAAATGAAATTTAATAGCACAAAAGAGCTAGTCAAAAACACTAAGTATTCCCATTGTTCAAATATATATAACAAACTAAATATATAAGTTCCCGCAAACACATGGATTATTTTACGAGAAATGTAATGGGGAATATTAAAACTTCTCGAGGCAATTTCTACTATAAGAATAACACCGAGGGTAAGTATGTAAGATAATGCGAGACTTGTCAAGGTGCCCCAAGTTGGAGAAGGTAAAAGACCCATCTTTTCGGTTTGATATGAATTTCGTCCTTTTTAGGCACAGTATTTCTTTGGAAAAGTGACACATGTATCATCATGCAAGTTGATCCTAACAAATTAATGATAATCATATTGTTGCATTGATCGGCAGATTGATACTTGATCGATCATGGTGTTTTTGAACCGATCATATGGGAAATGGAATAGGAAAACCCTTATCTGAAAGCAAGTATCAGACGGTGGTTTTCCTAGTCCATCCCCCTATAATCATGACGATTTATTTTTCATATTTAAACCCGATTAAAACTACTTAATGCCATATGGGCAAAATTTTGGAATTAGCAATAACTTCTGATCTATTGGTCCGTTTTAAATGGTTTTATTACCAAAATGATCTCAATTAGGTGATTCTAACAAGCCCAAAATCATCAAAATCCAATCATAAGTTCTTAAAATCACTATAGATCAAATAAAATTTTAACTAATAAAATTAATTATTTAACCAATAAAATTGCCTAAAACCAATGTTCTTGTAACCCATTTCATTGGTTTTTTAATAAAAAACCAATGAAATGGGTTACAAGAACATTGGTTTTAGGCAATTTTATTGGTTAAATAATTAATTTTATTAGTTAAAATTTTATTTGATCTATAGTGATTTTAAGAACTTATAATTGGATTTTGATGATTTTGGGCTTGTTAGAATCATCTAATTGAGGAGATTATTTTGGTAATAAACTTATTTAAAATGAACCAATAGATCAAAAGTTATTGCTACCATAAATTCTCAAAATAACAGGTATCTGTGTATTATTTTGAATACGTGCATGTTATTTTGAATACGTGCGTGTTATTTTGAATACATGCATGTTATTTTGAGTACATGTATGGGCATTATTTTGAAACAAATATAAAATTATATATTTTTATATAAAAAGTGAATAAATAAAAATGCTCTGAAACTAGGTTCGGTGCTAAGTAAATCTACTTTCAGGATTTAATTAAAGTTCATTAAAAATGGTCCAGTATATCGTCCACAATAGCTCTTCAAAGTTTTGCAACATTTGTTTATCTTTGTTTACATAAGTTGCAAAACTTTGGAAAGCCATTGTGGACAATATACTAAGTCATTCTTGATAAACTTAATATTATTAAAACCATCTCGATCTGAAGACCAATTTTTGTTAAAGTTCAAAAGTAGATTTATATAGTACTAAATCTAGTTGTAGAGCATTTTTTTTAAATTTTACTACTTCTTACTATTAGATGCATGTTATTTCAGAACGCATATAGATGTTATTTTGAAACCACTTATGCTATTTTTAGAGGGCACAATTTTTGAATTAATGCCCCTACTTATTATTTTAAGAATTTACAGTAATTCTAAAATTTTGCCCATATGCTATTATATTACATCTAAGATTGAAAGTGCAATATTTATATATAACAGATTAGCTTCAAGCATAGTATAATTATACAGAATGGATGTTTATAAGGGATTTGATAGTTAAAATAATTGGTAGATGGTATTATTACTTTATTTATTATGCAACAAGCAGAATCAGATATTCTCTTTAGAGAATTCAATCCCCCATTATGATGAAGATCTAGCCTCTTATAGAAAAATACGATTACAAATAAGATTATAAAAAAAATTAGGGTAAGGCTATTTAACATCATCTTCTTCTTGGTTAGTTGCTTCCAAAAAGCCAGAACAATATTCAGTAATCATGTAATTAAAATTGACCAATAATATTCATCAAGGGTGCTAAAAATTTTGCAGATCATCAAAATTTAAAAATATTTATAACATTTCTAAGAAATATAGCATGTCAATATATGCAAACTCCTATAGTACAGAAATTCTTAAACCAACAACTTTTTTTAAAGGTGGCCAAATTTGAGAACAAATACTAAATTTTGATTGGCTAATATCTTAAAATTTTGTTATGTTTTTTTAATTTTTATTATATTTTTAAAATTTTATGTTTTTTATATATATGTGGCCAAATTTTGGTTTTATTAGTAACTTTAAAAGGAAATAATATTATAAAATTTTGCTATATTAAAAAATAAACTTTATAAATTTGTTCTGCTTGTTTGTTTATATATTTCTATAGAAAGATTTTTTCTTTTAATTATATTTTTTAAAGTTTAAAGAATTATTAGTTTTTGGTTGCTGATTTAAGAATTTTTGTACTATATAATCATAGATTTTTTTTCTTGTTATTTTTTGTACGTTATTATGTAAGCACAACAATTTCAAATTAAAATAGCCAACTATATTTAATAAAGAATTTTATTTTTTATCACTATAATGATGTATCACTACCTCTGAGACTTAGGTGTCATATCGTGTGATGTCAGGGTTTCAATATTCAAACTTCACCTATGATTAGTAATATAGATTACTGACGACCAATCAAAATTAGCATACATGTAAACAGTTTTGGCATTTTTTTAAAAATTTGAATGAAGTTTTCTTAATAATTACCTGATCAAATTCAATGAAAATTTTTTTTATTTTAACTCTATGAATATGTAGAATTAAAATAAAAAAATAAAAAAATCATTGAATTTCATTAGATAGTTATCAAGAAACTTCACTTGATTTTAAAAAGAACTGATTTATCTATCAGTAAAGTGTTTCTAAATTTTTTAAACTTTGAGAGAAGTTTTCTTGATAGCTTTCTAACCTTTTAAAAATTCAACAGCATTTAAATTACTAAGGCTACACAAAGGTGTTTTTCCGTTTTGCATTAAATGTTATTTGAAATTTCGATTGGTGGTTAGAATTTTTTTTTGTTAATCTAAATTAATAGACTGAATTTTCGTATAGCAAAGTCTTTAATTTCTAAGGCTTTCTTGAAAAAGCATTTACTTGTTCGGATGATTCAAGTTCATTAACTTTTAAATCAGTTAAATCATAAGGCATAAAACTATTGAATTTAAACCTATCGGTAACTTACCAAATATAAAAATGATTTGTAACTGTAATGGCTATATACTAATCTGTCATCCATTTTAAAATTTGAAAATTAATGCGTATTAATAATAGATTTACAAAGCCTTTATTCCTTTCTGAGATAATACAAATTCAATTGATAAAAATCGGCCAAAAATGGGGGACGGTGGTGAGTTATGTGATCAAGCATCAATCAAATTATAGAATTTTAATGATCACCAGTGAAACAAAAATAAAAACAATAAAACCAAAAACCTGAAAAATACAAAAAATGGCAGTCTAAATCAAAAATGTCAGAAAACCAATTTTGCTTATATATAACTACCTAAAACCTATCCTAATCCTAATATAGAATGACCCTAACCCTAAAGACATTATTAAGAAATACGAGTGCCTCCACTTT